AAAAAAAAAAAAAAAAAAAAAAAAACACTGAGATAATGCTGAGCCATTTTTTCATTATTTCCCCAAAAGACACATTGATGAGGGGGAAAGAGGAGACAGATGCATAGTATAATGTATAAGCACAGGTGGCTGCTAAATGGGCACAACATGAACTGTTCTGCATAAATCAACCATTTGAAATTGCGGTTTGTAAAAATAAAACATTTCATAAGGCTAATTATTTCCTTTATCAAAAAGCTAACATGTGTTGTTCCTTTATAAGCATTGTTTTCTTAGAGAGTTTTAAAAAAATGCAATAAATGAAAAAAAAAAAAAAGAAAAAAAAAAAAGAATAGAATGATGAATTCTATTTATTTGTATAACAAGTACGAATTAATAAGGGTGTTGCATTTCCTTCTTCTTCTTTCTTTTTTGCAGTGTTTGCAGCGATTATTTTGTGAGATAGCTTATAAAATTAATCATGGCAACACACATGCACAGCTTCATATATATTTCTTCTTTTATCCTTTTACCACGTATATATCACGCAAGTATAAAAAATTGGTAATAAAGAAAAAATACAAAGAATTAGTACGTGTGAAATATAGCTCATCATTTTGAATACAAGCTATGCTATAATATAGATATATATAAGCAATGTACATTTTTGTTTTATACAAAAGATAGTAAAATCTTACATGTAGCAAAATAATGAAATAAGGAGAGGTAAGAAAAAACGATATATTAATTTGAACATTAATATGTGTATTCGTATTCATGATGTGTAACATAATGTAAAATACATAATAAGTATAATTCCATTATTCTTCAGAACAGTGAAAATAATTTTGTTATCCATCCACCTATTGTATCTTCTGAAGGTTCTTAATAGAACCAGTCAACATCTACGTTGTCTGGGGATTCCAGAGTTACTTTTTCAACTTCTTTTTCCTTGTCTTCCTCATTTTCCTGTTCTTCCTTTTTTTCCTTTTCTGCCTCATTTTCCTGTTCTTCCTCGTTTTCCTTTTCACTTAAGACATCAAAGTAGTATAATTCCTCATCCTCAGATTCATTTTCAACTGTGGATTCTACCTGCTCCTGATCGAAACCGAAGATGCTTTTTATTAATCGTCCTTGGAAAAGACTCTGAAAATTTAGGAGAAAAAGAAAAAAGGTGTAAAATTAAAATTTATGCACAAAATCGAAATAATTGATAAGAAGCGTCATCAAGGTGGAAAAGAAAAAAAAGAAAAAAAAAAAAGGAAGGGCATATGGTCTTTTTTTTTTTTTTTGAGGTATCCCATTTTTACGCATATCGTTACCTTATCAATTAATCTGTAGCAAAAAGATAAAAACAAAATCAACAAAATATAGGTAGTAATCACATTAGTGGTCGAAGTGTCATAGTAGTTTTGCGTATACACTTGATGGGAAGTCAGTGGAATGACTGGTGTATTAGTTGCATATTTGTGAACTACGCTTTGGTATAATTTATATCTTGGAAAATCACTGTCAAATGCGGACATCATTTTCGAATAATATAGACTGCTTAAAATAAATATATTGAAATTTCTTCTGTGTTTATCTGTACACGTGTGAGTTGTTCTTATGCTAGAAATACCGGCAGCAAAGTTGTATGCTATATTAATATAACATTAAGAATTTTGTATAGATCTACTTGTAACGGTAATTGGAAATATTATATGCCCCCTAAAAATGGCAGTTTAGTTTTTAAATACATATAATTTCTTTCAGAACTTTTAGTTTAACATATATAATTTTTTCAAAATGTTCATAAAAATTTTAATACATTCTTCTTACTGCTTCATTGGTCTACGCGAAATTTTAATTTATAATATTAATTTCATAACTTTTTACCAAAACTAGGAACATATATTTATGCGTATGTTTATATAAGTATAATATAAAATACGTGTATAAAAAAACCTAAACAACAAAATAGGGCATACATATATATTTTTTTTTTTTGTTTTTTTGCTGGGTTATGAAATATAATACTTTAATAAACATGATAGATATGAAATGGTGTTAACAAAAACTTGGGACTCAACTGTGAAAAGTGAATTCTTTTAATTACTAGGGATATAACTGTTCCAATTTTTCTATTTTTATTATAAAGAGAACACATATATTATAAATAATACAATACAAAATATAAATATTAAAGCTGATTATTAAAATTATAATATTTTTTTTAGCATTTATCATTAGGGTGTAATATATAAAAATGGTACACTTATTATTTTTTTTTTTTTTCGTATTATTTTTTTACCCATTTTTGAAAGGGACACTCTCTGATGAAATTTTTTTATTTTAAAATTATGGCACTTTTGGGAATGAAAAAAATCACGACAATGGCAATGTAGGAAAATATATTATTAGATTAACAGTCATAAAACTTTATCCCTAATTTATAATTATAAATATATACAATACATTTACTCATCATAATAATATTTATTTGTACCCTATAGTTTAACTGTAAACTGGCATATTTTTGAATTTTTATATTTCTGTGTAAAATGGAATATGTTCATGAACGAAAAAAATAGGCAAAGGTTGCGTCATTCCTATATATATAATTTAGACGAACATTTCTTTAATTTTGTGAATTTTAATTTCTTGTTAAACTCTAATCAACTGAAAAAGAATATGAACAAATTTAATGATTAAATCAATCTATAAATTAAATTGAGCAGGAATAATATATTATGTTGAGTTACAAGAATCTGGACTTCGTTTTATACTTTAGCAAATTTTAAGTGGGTTTAACTAGGGATTTGGGCTAATCATGATGTATTTGTTAAATATTTTATATGGAAAAAAAGGATTAAAACTTTCTTTTCCTTTCTTTTGCTTTTCAATTACGCTAATTTTCAACTAATTCTTTTTAGGGTATTTTAAAATTTGTGCATTCGAGAAAAATGGACGAAATTGAAAGAATATATATATATATATATATATACATGCTAAGCAGTTGAGAAAATATTTTAAGTAATGTAATTTCCTGTGAACATTAAAACACATTTAAATAAGTGTATTTTTTTTTTCTGTTTTCGTTGTGGCACAGCTTTTTCCTGGCAAGTGTTATGTTCATGGTCGTGTTTGAAATAACGTTATAGACAAGCATGCACTGAACTAACAAAGTACTATTTTGCTCTTTTGCTTGCATCTAAAATGCTTCGTGACCCGTTTATATCCTTTTTATGTTAACCGAGTAACATGTACTATAGAGGAAAGCACTGTTTTTTTGTAAAAAAAGAAAAGAAAAAAAAAAAGAGTAATTTAAAATGTTAACCTTTATGTAACAACAAAATTGCGCACTGTGGATGGACAAGTTATGATAAAATTAGCCTCAGATAAAAGTTCAAATAAGTCTAGTAAAAGTGCATAAATAAATAATCGTTTTGTGTGTTAGCGTTTTTGCAACACCTGAGTATTCCGTTCTAAAGGGACCCGCAATAATTATATTTATGTAATTCGCTTTTCTTAATTGTTATATGAATAGGATGAATTTTGAAATGATTTGTAACAATATCGCGCTGTACATTATGCATAGGTGTTCTTTTGTGTGTGTTCCATGGAATGCTGGAGACCTTTTCGTTAACTTATTTTTGATGTGTTAGAAAATGAGTCAAAAAAGGAAGGTTACAAATTATAACTTAGAAAAAAATTCCAAGTAAATATTTCAACAAAAATTGCGTCGTAATATTGTTCTAATCACAATTTTGCTATTGCATGAATCCGTTCATTTAACGTACATGTGTAACATTTGCTGCTCGTGAAAGGATATTTTTTTTTTTTTTTGGACATTTTTAATCAAGAATAGGGTTTCCTTTTTTGTTGCCTTATATATGCATAAGAGGTCACGCTATCCTTTCTTTGTGCGCATTTTAAACATTACATTTCATCCTGCTTATACAATAATATTATTATTTGTGCAAAAACGGAAAAACCTTATTCCCAATGTAGTCAATTTACACAAGGAAGTTAGTACTCAAAGGACAGGGTCTTAGCACATGCATTTGAGTACCTTTACAAATGGGCCATTCCCTTTGTGTACGTATAAAAGGATCCACAACGTGATCAAGTTCAGTTCAATGTTTAGTACTGCTTAATGGGAAAAAGGAATAAATTGTGGAACGGCTAGCTAATAATACGTTAAATAAAGAACAATTGCTCAAGCGATTAAAAAAATTTAAAGGCAACATAATTGCAAACATGCACATATTTAGGCTGACAGGTACTTTGCGCAAAATAGCCCGTGTTTGTAATGATCGATTATGAACAGAATTTGTAACATTTTTTCTATATATCTATGTGTGCATTAATTCATAAGGCCTCACCTTCTTGCGCATCTGATGAAAAAACAGGTATATAGGTGTATAAAAAATTTTGCAAAGAAGATGAGCACAGTACCGTTTTAACGATCCGCACTGAAACGAAGAATTTGAACATATTTATTGCTTACCGTTTTGATTAAAATTTTTTATTTTATATTTTAAGCGGGGCGAGAAAGGCACGGAAATTGAAGATTTATGATGAAAGGGGATATATGTATTTCGTGTTATATTGACCTATGTTTGATTCTAACGATTGCTCTCAGTTTACTAGGTTTACCTCCTTCCTTTTAGAAAACATGAAATTTGTTATAGAAATAATGAAGTAGCAGTGTGTATTACATCACATTTTATTACACATGTGTAGGGTACATCATGCTGCTAGTAAGCACAAATAACCTTTAAAGGTGATGATTCGTTTGTGCTTCAATTTATTCGTAGAATATGCAGTCGTAGCAGCAATAGATGTTTTAAAAGCAGATTAACGGCTCAATAAACCTGTTCTTTAAAGGCAAATTTGTTATTTGGCCTAATAGGGGAGAACGTTCATTGGCGTTAATCATATCCATTACGATATTATCTTAATAAAATGTGATTTGGAAAGTTCTTTTTATATAGAATTTAAGGAAGATATGTAATTGCCGAAATGTGTGCATTCGTCGCCGATGGTAATATTTTTTAAGCAAGAGCGTATAGTAAGCAATACGTACGAACTACTAATATATATCTTGTCGCTTTATACCTTCAACTTTAATCATTTGCAGGACATACGATCTTGTGCTATTACACTACAATGCGGTCATACATTTTGGATAAAAAACATTATGCAGGCGTTGCTTTAAAAATTTATAGGTGGCCTGGATTTGTCGTTTTCATTCGGAGTCTACGAATCTTTAAGCTGGCTAACAGCACATGTGTGCCGAAAGGAAGAGTAATAGAACAAGCTGCTGTAATTTTTATGGCCCATTTTGTAGCCGATTTTTCCAATACATTCAGTATGCAGTACAGCATACACATTATAGGGACCATTATTTACGTTTTATACTTTTAGCAGAAACACATGAATTTTTTCTAATAAAAAAAATTTTATTTTTCGCAAAATAAAAAAGGGTACTATAATAAACTATGTTATGAATTAAACTGAATGTTTGTTATTCTCAGAAAAATAGGATAAAAAATAAGGTTCCTTTTTTGCATTAGTCCTATATGCCCTTAGGATGATTTATACGAGAACGTTATGACATTTTTTTGGACGGGATTTTGCTGCTGGCACGGTATATATTTTTATCGGTTATTTTTTAACCCCTGTTAAAAAATATTATATATAATAGAGGTACACATGTGTACCTAATGGTATGAATGAAAAATATGCTGGGCAATAATGTAGCACTGTTGCAAGTTTTGATGGAAAAAATTAAAACAAAAAGTATATACGTATATTGTTATAAGAATAATATATAAATATTACATAAAGAGTATTCTTCCTATTAGAATAAAAACAGGTTTTTATTCTTATGCGCTTTTTCGAATTCGGGTTCTAACCAATTGTGTTAATAAAAAATGGTACTTGTATTATATACACCTTTATATTCTAATTTATAAGTGCCGAAAGGTTAAATTTTTAAGAAAAAGCGGAATATAATTATAAAAGCTACATAAATTTACGCAAAAAAATTGCCATAACTTTAAGAAAAAAAAAATGTTTTCGTTTTTTGAAAATTTGCAAATATTTTATCCTCATTATATGTAGGTATATAAACATGTAAAGAATATATTTTCTTTGTATGATTGATCAATTACATTTTTTTCTTAAGGGTATATATAAATGGAACTGGGGAAAGGGAACACATTTTTATTGTACTAAAAATAAAAGAATACATTATTTTCAAATTCTTGCAAATACAGAAACCGAAATTTTAATTTAGCCCACAACTGTCGCGTAAAGAAATAAGTTATGCGCTGAATTCTAATATAATATTATTTATTCAATTCTTTAAAGAAGAATAAATTGAATTTTTGGATATTCAAAATAAAGATTTATTATATATTATTTTATTGAATATTTTATCCAAAAGTTTTTCTAATGTTTTGTGTCCCCCATATCTTTTTAAATGTATTAAATATAGCTTAATAATAATATATAAAAAACAAAAAAAAAAGGAAATACCCTAATAGAAGTACCCACTAAAACAAAAGTTTATATGAATTTATTACATTATTAAGAAAATTACGGAAAATGAGAAATTTCAATAACGCGAACAACAATACTTGCCAGAGTGGATACTCTGCACATTTAGAGAGCAGTGTCGTTTCTTCATCAGGGGATGACGCAAAGAATACTATGAAACGAAAGAGTAAATTTTTAAGTTTTACCAAAATTTGTACCTTTTCCCTTGTCCTGTTGATGTCCAAGTGTTACGAAAGTGTAAGATGATAAAACGAATAAGCGTGAGGCCGCATATATATATGTGTATGTTCCATTTTGTTATGTTATTTCCCCCTTTGTACACATATAGTTCTATCTCCCCAAGTGGTAATTTGTTCATGTATAAAGATCCCTTCATTTTTTTTTTTTTTTTTTTTTTCGTATCCACTCCGTAGGGTAATTCCAACAATTCCGTTAGCACGTTCAACGACCTTAATAATGGGGCAGGTTTAAGGTCCCTCAGAATGTTAGCATGTGGAGAATGGAAAGAGGACCAGTTTGAAAGTACCTACGTGGAAAATGAACACGAAGAGAATACTGAAGAGAATGAGGAAACGGAAAATTGCTCAGGAAACAATAATTGTAAGGACTCGTCGCCATGCTGTAATGCAGTTGACAAGACCTGCCAAACTAACTGTGGAGCCTGCACATGTGGTTTTAAAACTTTAGATTTATATTTTGAAAAGAAATTATTGGACATTTTAGATGCGGGAAACAAGAAAGCTGGATCAGTTATGCATGTCGGGGCTCACGTTTTAAGTGGATTAAAGGACTATCTTAAATATGTGCTTCTGTTCTCACCACTTTTACTTGAGTTTTTAGCAAGCAAACTTTTACTATCAGGATATTATAAGTCATCTCAATTCGTATCTAGTGTGTGTGTTACGTTTTACCTGTATGTGTTTTACAAAATTATAGAGAATGGTGCTTTGGAAAGAGCAGGTTTTATATCTTATGATAACACTCCACGTGAAATTGGCTTGCGCAGCGTAGGCAGTAGCTGTGAAGCCTCTTGCGGTAAAAATACCTGCCCGGATAGCAACTGTGAAAGCAGCTGCAAGAAGAAGAATGGTTGCTGCAGCAAAAAAGAAGACTCAAAATGCAAGGATACAAAATCTAAGTCACGAAGTGCTTAATAAATAGATCTCTCACCGTGATTTCCTAAGTGTTATGTAGAAGAAACATGCAAGGATGCATACATGCGGGTAGACATTTTCAGGCGACAAGGCCAAGATGGCATGCACACGAGCCACTGGTTAAGCTGTATATTTGTATATGTATATATTATGCATATGTTGCATTCTGCGTATTATATATTTCCACAGCTTTGGTCCCCTTTTGTACCAAAAGTTCTCAAAGCAATATAATATTGTGCCACGCAATGTGTAGGCATGCTGTGTATTTAATTCTATTCGCGCATTAAAACTGCAGTAGCTGTTTATTTTATTTATATATATATATTTTTTTTTTTTTTTTTGTGGAATGTACACAATTTTACAAGATATATATATGTATGATGTTACAAATGTATATTCTTTAGGATGCTAAAGTTGCAACAAGGATAATAATATAAGTATTCACGGCACATATTATTATGTTGAATATTGATTGCTACATGTGTACATGGACATATTTTTTTTGAATAATTAAGTTGTATATACATTTCACCATTTTATGACACTTACTGAATCAGACGATGTGTGTTGAACAACAGACGTTTAATCTAATTATGCCAAATCGTCATTTGCTTTCGCATTATTGAGCAAAAAGGATGAAATTCAAGGCGTTCACGATACACCATATTTACAAGGGATGTAGGATACGCCAATTTAGATGTACTCATATGTGTATACAACTCCGATGATTTAAGTGATAATTATGCGTGGGGTTGATGTGGCAGATACATGAGTATGTAAGAAATTAGTGGATGCTTTATACAGCTCATTTACGTCATAACTATTTTATTAAATGCATGACACCCTAAATTATCCGTTTAGAAGGAATTGGCTTTTCCCTTATTTGGTTTAGGTAAAAGTTCTGTTTATACCAGAAAATAGTTTATTATGTTTTATTTTAGCAATGAAGAGAGAGAACACGAAGGGCAATAAATTAGCAAAATTTATTCCGCGTTTTACGAAATATGTTTCGCAGTTTATTGGTTGGTAGCACGTTTTTTTGATGAATAGGTGTATTTCATTACTTATGTTAGATGTAACCTGCTAACTGCATCGTGCGCGTGCCGTGCTAGGCTTTTATTTTCTTCGTTTGCAAAATATGTATATACTTTTTGAATAAACGTTTAACCACACGTTGGGGCGTACAGAATTAGGAGTTCTTTTGCATAATTCTTTGGCCTTATAGAATAATTCAAAGAAAAGCAGGAACTAAGCAACACGTGGAGCTTTATTTTATATAGAAAGCCAATGGCCGAACGTAATTTGTAGTTCATGCGTGGTTGATTAGATATGTAGGGCCCACGGAATTTTAGGAAGAACAGAACTGTTCATTTTAGTGTTCGCAAAACATTACTGTTGCAAAAATGATTCGACATAATGATTACCATTTGTAGCTATATATAAAGCTAAAAGAGGGTCGATTATATTTACCCCATTTCAAGCACAAATGATAAGAATGTTATAGATCTGTACTACTACAATGCGGGGAGGCTGAATATTTGTAGTTGAAAAATAATTTTGACTTGCAAAAATAAAAGTATCAGGATTTTTTGTTTTTACGAGTATTTTAAAAAAGCTTGCCAAAAGCTGTCGATGGCGAGGTGCGTCGGTGCTATAAAAACGTAAACGTTGCTTTTACGCACCTTAACACTATATATAGCTAGCAATTTTTTTTTTTTGTTTTTTTTTTTTTTTTTTTTTTTTTTTTTTTTTTTGTTTTTTTTTTTGTATTGACTAAGGATATATTTTAAAACTTTTTAATTTATTTATTTTTAAATGGTTTTGGTTCTTTAAAATTTTTTAATGTTACTAAACATTATAACGTACATTAGCATTATTTCAAGCTATTTTATCGTGTTTTATTGGTATTTTAACGTTTAGGTTATAAGCATTCTTCAACGATTTTATCCGCATTGTAAACGTAGTTTTTATATCAGCACGCAACGCGCATACGTCTTATAAATTTAGAATAATCTTTGCTCAAATAATAACCCCTATTTATATAATACCTATATACACAAAGAAACTTAAATTAAGCGACTATGGCTTTTTTTAATGAATCCAATTCTGCTTCGGCTGACAGATGCTCAGCTAAGAATAACAGAAGGAACGAAAAATCTGCCACCGCGACTGGCGCTGGAAAGAAGAGTTCAGGTGGCTTTAACTTCCGAAGGTTCTTTGTCCCCTCCTGCTCGCTTGCTCTTCTCGTTGTCGCCATATATATGTTGCTACTAGTAAGATATATAAAATAAACATTTTTAGAATAAATAATACTCATGTGTTTGCAATTTTTAATTCGGCCCTTACGTAGAGCCATTATGTACGCTGTTCCTGGATATGTGAATGGAGGAAATAGTCCATGCATGTGAAGTATATACATATTATAAATGTGCCTAATACATGCGCGCCCTCTCCCTCGTAAACTTTTTTTTGAAACTTCTGACAGGAAATAACCCCCTTGGACAAGAAGGTTATGACCCAAATACAAGCAAGGAATTTATCCGAGTCAAATGAAAATGGATACTTCAGGAAAGGAAATTCATATACGAATGCAAGTTCTTCTGATTCTGAATCCAATTATAACCTGTTATCTGGGTATGATACAATGGATTTAGGAGAAAATGAAAAAGAGCATGACTTGGATTCACATCCAACTGTTGGAGTAAAATATGCAGACGAAAGTGACTTGTATAATGTTGAGATGCCTGTGTTTAACCCACCTCAAATGGACCTTACCAAGGATATGATGAAGGAAAAACTGAACGAATTGATCAATAATATGGAAGAAGTCCCAACAAAGGATGACGTTGCCAACCTGTGGACGCTTGGATATTCTCTTGAGGAGGAAGAATTTTATGATTTTTTAATAGAGATATTCGAATATTACAATGAGTTAAAGGAAACACACAATGTAGATAGTGAACATGCGAACGCTCAATGGAGTAAGCTGTTTTTCAATCTTCATGACCTTTTAAAGCAGAAGGAGGACTACTACGTTCAACTTTACTTGGACTTCATCATGAACAGTACCTTTACGAAACAGGAATGTATTAATATTTTCAACAACTGTAGGAAGGAACTTGCTGATTTCAGACAGCAGTTACTCACCATAAGCAAAAGCCAATTGCATGAAAACATGGTTCAAGAAAATTGAGGACATTAAAAAATTGCATTAGTGAACTAAAAAAAAGATACGAAAGAAAGTGGTAAAAAGAGAATGATTGTGTATATATGCCAGTGTGTGCTACTCTCGCGTATATTGGTAATATAAAGGAAAGAGTTTAAAATAGTCTCTGCTTTACGCTGATGGTATAATTGAACAAACTGGCTTGGATAAAACCTAGATCTCATTATGTTCCTGCCTTGCGGCCAAAAGTGAAAAGACGAACAAGGAAGAAAAACGTTTCGGAGTTGGTTATAATATGACTCATGTAACATGCGTAACGCGCTGATAAATCTTGGGCCAAAACAGAAAAATATTTATGCGAAATATGAAGTGTACTTAGGTCCATAGTTTATGTGTGCATCAGTACATTTTTTTGAACTTCTTTTTGTAAGCACTAACATTGCTTTTTGTGTATGTGCCTTCCGTGCTGATTGAACTAGATTGTTACATTTTCTCCGTGTTATGTTGTTGTGTACTAGTAACCGCGTTACATTTAAAAATTAACTTGAACTTGAATTGGTCTTTACGTACCTTGTCAACCGCTCAGTTGAACGAAATTCAAAGGGGATGCACCAAAAGCGGAGTAGAATCTAGAAAACAAACAAAAAAAAAGAATAACAATTAGGCTAAGAAAAAAAAAAAAAAAAAATATATATATATATATATATATTAGCCCGTTAAAACAAAACCTATAACATAAGAAGTACATCTGGAAGCATGCGCGATTTAAAAATAGGTTGCTTCTATTAATCACATTTAATTAACAAGAAGATTGACATAACTTTTTCACTGAACGCTGTATAATAAATATGTCTCTATGCCAATTGTTCAATTCTTAATAACCTTGTTTGGGTGTTCGATCCATCCCTGATTTTTTTTTTTTTTTTTAAGGAAAACAATAAATTATTTTTATGGTCCACAAAACAAAAGTATATACGAGTACCCTCAATTGCACGTATGTCTGCATTAGATATTCTCATTGATTCCGGCTAGTTTAGGAATAATACAGCTTTATGCGTCTGTGCCAACGCACAGAATAATGACCCAAAAGTATATCCTAAACCCGCAACCCATAAACTCTGAAGCCCTAGAACACTAAACTCCTAAGCGCTGAACCCATAAGTCCTAAGCTTGAACAGTCGTAAAAACATAAATACAAAAACTTAAACCCAAAAACCAAAACTCAAAACCCGAAAACCTGAGCCTGAAGCAGGGATCCTGAACTTAGAACCCTAAGCCCTGAACCCTAAACCTAACCCCAGAACCCTAAATCTTTGACCCCTAACCCCCTGCGCATAAACATATGTCTATCGATAACATATTTCAGATACATTTTATCAATATAGGAAGTAAATGCGGAACAGTTTCGGCATTTACCTTTATGTGAATTGTTGCTTATTATACCTTCATAATTTTTATAAATAGTTGCACACATCCTTTTCTCCTTCTATATCCACTATCGTTCCAGATAATTGGTAATGGTAAAATGTGTCTTTCACCTATTTTTCATTAGTTTAGTAGAGTACACCTGGTGTATTGCCATATATACATAATTATTAAATGCTGAATTCGGTAAAATTTAAATTCACTGATATATATCATGATGATTAAAGTTTATAGTTATTAGTACTAAAACTATTTAAAATTATATGGCAATGAGAAATTTCCTAAAATAAAGGCAAAGACGGAAACAACGTAATAAATGGAGTTACCTCTAAATATTACACGAAAGAATGAAATAATTTTTTGACCATATAAAATGAGTTAGGGGAAATAATTAACTAAAACAAAATTTTAAATTGTCATATACATATATGTGAAAGCTAAAGTGACTTGATATTTTAAACAAATATATGTTATATATTATATATTACGGAAACAATGGGAATTGGGAAATAATATATCATGTATATACTTATAAAGAATACATGTTATATTAACAAAGGGAATCAAATTATTATGGCTATATATTATTCTGGCAAAAAAGGTACGAATAGGATGTGTGAAACATTTTTAAAGGGAAAAAACGAGGAATAGGAAATAGAAGTTACATGAATATATATATCATAACCTATGATACTAATTTTTTAAACACACATGAGAATTAGAATATGCGTTCTATTCAGTATTTGCCTATTAATTGCAGATAATGTTTGTACTTGTTTTTTTTTGTTTTCAATCTGGACATACTGAATTCATTATATTTGTTCTTTAGATTTTTAAGAAACCTTTTTTTATATCTATGAAACCATTCTAACTTGCCTTGTTCATGTAAGTACAATAAAAT